CGCCTGGGAAAGGGAGTTGATACTCCGCTCCGTGCAGGCGTCTCAGTCATCCTACAGTCCCCTATACCACACAATTTTGGAAGTAGCTTCAGGCATGTAGGAGAATGACTCACCGAGACACGTGCAAGTAGCTATCAGTAGGAGTATCTTCCCCTTCCACAGGCATGCAGGCAATTTTGAAAGTAGAGTCTCCCTCATCCCACCCCGCGCGAACACAATCTTGGATGTAGCTTCGCGCATGTGTGATGGTTCACTGAGAGAAATTGCCAGTTCAGTCTTTCAGCCATCAGCTTCTCAAGTTTCGTCGTCTTCTTCCACCCAAAATCATGGCGTGCTGGGAAGTGCAGGAACTCCGCCGAGAGCCCAGTGGCTGAAATGCAACAACACCGCCTTTTCGCTGCTAACATGCTGTTTGAGATTGAGATCAAGGAACCTGGAGCTCCGACGAGCAGTTTTCCAGCTGCAAAACCAGCCGCTTGGCAGCAGCTACTTGGAGCCGTGTTGGGCGGTTAGGAGGTTCAGCAGCTGGGATGCGATTGCAGGGCCGCTGCGAACTGGCGAACCAGCCAGTGCGCTTTGCGCACGCAGCGGGCCGTGGTCTCCAATCTTTTGGAGAAGCCACTTGGCTGAAGCAAGTTGCGTGGCATCGGTGGGATCAATTGAGTCTCCGAGATCTTTGCGTTGTTGTGCTGGGATTGCTCCACCAAGTCTCTTCCGTGAGGTGTGACGAGAAAGACCGGCTGCTGGAGGACCTTGCTCCATGCAAGCCGTATGCAAGAACACAGCAAGCAGTACTGGTTCGGCCAGTTGAAGCACTCACTCATCGGCAGTGTCCGCAATGATCACACTTGAACTATCATGTTCCTTTTCACATCCTGGACCACTCTCTGAACCAGACTGGTCATCTCCACGTGCTGTGCTGCTTCTCGCGACGAAGTAATCGCTACATGTTCGTTTTGATGTCCTGGGCAGAGTGGGCCGAATTGCTCATCTGCACATGGATGCGATGCTCCTCGTGGCCGTAGCACAGTGGTCGCTTCATGTTAATCTTGATGTCCTGGACTCAAGCTGTCAGCTGCGAGACCCGCTGCGCCGCTACGCATGTTTGCACGACCTGTGTGCACGAACGGTTGTGTAGTGCTACTGGATTCGGCATTTGAGTGTGAAGGTGTGTGGGTTGCAGAAACTCTTTTTCAATGAATGGGGAGCGTGCCCAAACAAGACTTGCCAAGACTTGCAGAAGGCGACCTCGCTTGCGCGTGGCATGCCGTGCAATGTTTTTGACAGAGCCTTGCGTGAGCCATGCCAAATGCAGGTTTTACAAGCTTTTTTTGGCAAGCGGCAGGACCTCCCTTGCGCATGGCATGCCATGCCAGGCAAGGATATGGAACACGAGCAGACAGAACCTTGCTTGAGCCATGCCCTGCCATGCAAGGTTTTCCAAGCTGTTTTTGGGGAGTGTTGCTACACGGCAAAACCTCGCCTGCGCGTGGCGTGCCATGCCACGCAAGGTTATTCAACACAAACAGACGGATCCTTGCCTGGGCCATGCCATGCAAGGTTTTCCATTATGGTATCGAGAAGTGTTGGTAAACGGCAAGACCTCGCCTGCGCATGCATGCCACACCAGGCTGCTGAAGACGAATTGCCAAACCTCAGCTGAAGCCTTGTTTGACAGCAACTTGCCTGTCTTCAACATGCCCTGCTACCCTTACCTTGCACGACCTCTCCTGAACAAACATGCTTCGTCATGCTACAGGCCTGGCCAAATTGAGTATTTGGGTGCGTGTGTCAAGCCGCTGCCGAGAAAAGACACATTGCCCAAGGTCGTTTATGATTTCTGTCATTCGTTCACCGACTCAAAGTTTCATGCATGTTTTCCTTTTGTCCTAGTCACAGTCCTTGTTCCATTAGCCTTGTTACCCCCCGTTTTGGTTGGGTTTCTCAGGAGGCGCGCTCCTCAGCAGAGGCGCGATGCTCACCGCAAGTGTTGGGCGCATGCTTGGCATCGAGCTGCAGGATTTGTCTCGCTACTGCCTCCGTCCCAGTTGAGCTTAGGATCTCCGGTGTGTGCCTCCTTCATATTCTCACATGTCGAGGTGAGGAACTGCTGCATCGCGCAATTCCCGCAGCGGCTATCGCCAAGGCCACCCACGAAGATAGGCTGCATCAGACGTGATGACAGGTTCGGGGATATTACACGACCAAAAGGACGTGGACGTACCGTGTGACAGCCAGACAACAAGGGTCACTTTAAATCTTGTCCGGTCTGTAAACTGTCAATGAGGCATCGCCTGTATGGAGCAGGGTCAGAAGACAGAGCTTCCTCTGGTTGTTGTTGTTTGTAGTTGTCGATTGTTACGAGAAGTTTCCCTCGGCCTTCGTTAGTTGGGCACTCTGGAAGTCCAAGCCACAGATTGTGGCGGACAGCCGATGCCAGGAGCATTTGAGCTGGCTGAGTGTAATTCTGCAGATTGACATGTCTGTGTGTCTTTGTGTGCGCACACAGCTGAACGCAGTCTTGAACATTGCAAGGTTCGATGCAAAAAGTAGTACCTAGTGCATGAGTCCTTTGCCAAGCTTCACACGTGCCAGGCCGCATACCCTCGCCACAATAATCGCGGAGGAGGCCTGTGCAGCTTCATTTCTCGAATAAGTATTTGCATCGATTTTTTGGTGAGGTTTGGAACTGCGCTTACTGCAACCTGCCTGCAGCTCAGCACTGCCCTCCCGCAGCCCGGGCGCAGCGTTCTGTGGCAGCTGGGATGATGTGGTGACCCACAGCAAGCAGGGTACGTACGCACCAAGATTTTCACCCGCACACCGTACTGTTAATTATCAGCACGCTGGCAGGCGTCTCAGCGTGCATGAACCAGTCTGTGCGACTTAGAGTCTTGCTCTTGCTTTAACCTGCTTGTTGAGCAGACTTCGCCTGGCCTGCCACGGGAGAGCTTACAAAGTCATTGATTTCTTCATATAAACTGAAATTGGCAGAGGTTAGCCGCTGCACTGGCTTCAAAGAAAGAATCGGCATCAAGATTCCGCTCGTGTCGTCTCCCGGACCTTGGTCTCCGAATTCTGAAATGGGCCTGTTGCTTCCTTGCAGGAAGTCTCGTGCCAGAAATCGCTCTTCCAAATGGCATGGGGTTCATCATGCCCGACGGTGGTGCAACGCACCGCCAGCGGTGCCTGCGTTTGAAGAGTGCCATTCACAGCTTTCGAAGGTTTGAAATGGAAGAGAGCTTTGCGCTCTCAAGCTTCTTAAATCGTGCTCCTGCTGCAGTACTGCTTGTAGTTGGTTGTTCGTCCGTGTTTTGTGGGGGGACTTTTAAGTTTGATGGTCGCGCTCGGCCACGGTGCCATGTGCATATTCGAGTGCAAATCCCGCTGATAAGCCTAGCCTGGGCAGCCAGACAGAACGCAACGCTGCACAACGCTTGAGGCCTGCATTCGGCAGTCCGAGTTCCCACCTCGGTCTTGCCCATGCACGGGCCCAGCAGTTCTACCACAATGCTGCTGCACTATCGCTGATTTCAGAATGCCCTTTCGAGAACCCGCCGCAGCTGCTCGTGTTGGACTTGTAACGTATAGCTGTCGCCATTGCAACCGTGAGACATCGTGAGACCGGCTGAGAGTGTGAGGTGTTCAATCCCATGCCCGAGCTCGATGTCTCCGTGAGTCCTGGCGAATGCTGGAGGCCATGCGGGCGAGTGGCTGAGCGACGGTCCGAGTCGAATCCCAGCAGCTCGTCTGCGTGGCTGCAGAAGCTGTGCCTGTTTGTTTGTTCGTGTGCTGGTTTGTCGGAGGGAATTGTCTGTTCGGTAACCCGAACCCTCATTGAGGAAACAGCCTGTCTGGTGGGAGCTGTTCCTTTCACCCTTGGGCACGCACACTTTCACCTATGCTTTTGCTCGTAGCTGATGCTTTCTTCGCCCCTGCATACCGGGGTGGAAGCAAAGCAGTCGTCGAGCCAACATGCAGATCCTGCCTTCTGCTAGAAAGAGCAGATGTTGAACTCGCCCCTCGCCTCCCCTGGCGGATTTCGCATTGCTTCACTCACTCTCTCTCTCTCTCTCTCTCTCTCTCTCTCTCTCTCTTTCTCTGGTTATTGCGACGAGCAAGCCGGGAAGTAATGCTTTTGAGATCTTTTGAGGTGATTCAGTGCGGAGGCAGTGCAGACACAAACTCAAACGTATAGTGTAACTATTCAGTGTTGCTGCTTTGCGCAGGCCATCGACCTCCACATCACTTCGAGGCAACGCCCCTCATGGCTGCAGCTGAAGGGCATGGTTTTCCAAGCCTACCTGTTCGTGCCAAGGCACGTGCCGAGAAGGCCAGCCTGAAGGTTGCGTCAAGGCCAGCATTGTAGCATCCGCGGCTCACCTGCAGCTGGCCTTTGGCATCAACCTTATGTCAGCGCTTTGCGCGGGAGTTGTGAACTTCATTCGCAAGCATGTCTATCAGGCAAGCCTGTCTATCAGGAAAGTCTCCCGCCCGCGGTCTTGGTGCATGTCCCGGAGAACCGTGCCCGCACAGAGCGCGCTCACGAGCAAGAACCCGAGGTTTATTTCTTGCACACTTCGGACAAGTTGCAAGGCCCCGCAGTGTCAGCGTTTGTGCTCGAACAGTTTGTCGTTGCGAAAGGTGTCATGTGATGTGTCCCTGAAGACCACTTGCTTCGCTGCCATGTCCTATGTTCAGTGAGCTTTTCGAGGATGTAATTAGTCGAGGATGCGGTGTTCGTGACATGAATGCCCTGTCCCTGATGTCAGCGTACCTGCATGGTACTACTTCCAAAATTGTGTGTGCACGCTGGCGGGGAGTTCGGAGAGAGAGTTAGCTGCCTGCAGGCGTCTCTGTGCGTGATCGTACATGCAGGGAACATCATGGAACCACTTCCAAGTTTGCTGAGCGTTTGAGGTGCTTGTGCCGCCTTCAGCTTTTCGGCGGAAGCAGAGAGAGAAGTTAGTGAGCCGTTGGTATCCGTGGACCGCACATGCATGGCTGTAAACCAAATGCCTTCGGCAGAGGAAGGCCAGCTGTTGTGGCCGGAGGTCGGCTCCAGCGACTTCTTGAAATTTGATTTCGGGGGCACAGCCTACGAGTCTGAGCTTCAGAAGAACCAGGCCAGAGCGAAGAACTTGTCTGCCATTAAGTGCATGGTCAAGACTCTCGGGCCAAAGGGAAGTTCGGACGAGGCGCTGGGCGTGCGCGTGATGTGGATGGAGCACGACTTTGCCTTCTTTGGAGGCTCCCTTGGCTGTGCCGAAGGCGAGAAGCTCACTCGAGGCTTTGAGTATGCCAAGCAGCACGGGCTGCCTGTTGTAGTGAAGTGCGCCAGCGGTGGCGCGAGAATGCACGAAGGCACCCTGTCCTTGATGCAGATGGCCAAGATTTCTTGTGCTGTCGCTGCTCTGGGCTCTGCCGGACTGCCTTTCCTGACTTTGCTGGTCGACCCGTGTTACGGCGGCGTCAGCGCGTCCTATGCGATGCAGGCTGATGTTCGGATTGGTGCAGCCCGGGGTCGCCTAGGCTTTTCCGGCCCACAGGTGATCCTCAATACCCAGTTCAGCATGCATCAGGATTCCTACGATCGCGCGTGCCCGGACGAGTTCCAGAGCAACGAGTTTGGCCTCCACCATGGCGTCGTCGACGTGGTTGTGCCAGCAGAGGACATGGAGTCTATGGCCTGGCAGGTGCTCTCAGTTTTGGCGGCCAAGCCCATGCGTCCTCCGTCGACTTCTACAAAAATTACAGAGTTCGCATCCGGCAACCCGGACTACTTGAAGTCACGTCGCCTGGACCGCTACGACTCCACGGACATTCTGAAGCAACTCTCCGTTCGCTTCATCGACCTTGGCGGCGATGGCAAGGGCCCCCACGGTCTTGACAAGTGTTTGCGTTGTGGCCTTGCGACCCTACAGAGCGGCCGAAGCGTCGTGGTGATGCGGTGCTGCAAGGGCCACACTCCCGTAGATCGAGAGAAGCACAATCACGCGATGCCCGCACCTGCCGGCTACAGGACTGGGTCGGATTGGCTATAATCCCGATAAGGCCCTCATATACCCCAGAAGAATTTGATTTTGAAGGGTCTCCACATCCCTCCTACAGGACGGCCTTGCGATTCTTCGATCTGGCAGAGCGCTTCGGTTTGCCCGTGGTCACTTTGGTGGACACCGTGGGGGCTTGGCCCTCCTTTGCCGCGGAGATGGCGGGGCAGAGTGAGGCCATCGCGACGAATCCGGGTCGCTTTTGGAAAAAAAGTTCTATCTCTTTCTCTCGGTATATACGTACTTGTTTATCTGTATATATGCATATGTGTGTGTGTGAGTGAATATATGTGTGTGTTTATATGAGGTAAATCAGACAATCTTACAGGAAATGAACCTTTCAGTTCTGAATCTGGCCCCAACAAGAACCCAGGAATCTCACGAAGATGGGTGGGCTGAAGGTGCCCATCGTGACCATCATCGTCGGTGAGGGCGGCTCTGGTGGCGCTCTGGCCATCGCCATGGGCAACAAGATCGGGATGCTCTCCAAGGCTTACTACTCCACTATCACGCCGGAGGGTGCAGCCTCCATCTTGGGCCGATATAAGGATGATGACCACAAGAAGGTGCAATTTCCGGAGGATTGCATGGCTTTGGCATCCAAGCAGAACATCTACGCACCCCAGTTGAAGGAGCTGGGCGTCATCGACGAAGTGATTTGGGAGAAGGATGGTGAGGACTGCAACGACTTCCCTGCCACCATGAGCAACATCAGCACCTTTGTGGAGGCCAGTTTGCAGGAACTTGCAGACATGGACCAGTCCAAGCTCGTGGAGCAACGCTACCAGAAGTTCCGGAACATGGGAAAGTTCAAGGAGTACAGCCCCGAGGAGAGGGAGGCACTGACGTCAGCCCCAGCAGAGCACAAGAGCAAGCGGCAGCGCTCTGTTCCAACACCTCCCAAGCTCCTAACCTTCCTCACAGAGCAGACGCTGAAGGGCGACAGCTCCTTCTTCAAGGGCAAAGGTCCTAAAGACTGCCCGCGCAACTGTTACCTCAAGGTGGAGCCAGAGCCTGCGGCGGCGGCGCAAAGGAACGCCAAGCAGATCCTGGACGAGGAGGGGCCGGAGGCCATGGCCAAGTGGGTGCGGGCCACCTCGAAGGAGCGCATCCTCCTCACCGACACTTGGGCTCTGTTTGAGTGCATGCGGGACGAAGCTCTCTTTCTTGCTGTCTCCGATGTAGGACCTATGTGTGCCTCTATCTGCAGGACTGTTTCTCCTAGGACTTTCTTCCTGGTGTTTTTTCTGAAGCAGCAGAGGACACGACCCTGCGCGACGCGCACCAGTCGCTGGTCGCGACGCGCATGCGCACGGCCGACATGCTCAAGGCCGCTCCCGAGATGAGCAAGCACCTGCACCAGTACTTCTCCTTGGAGTGCTGGGGCGGTGCCACCTTTGACGTTGCATATCGATTCTTGAACGAGGACGCTTCATGTCTCGCGACTGCTCGACATGACGCGATTCACGAATTACATAGAGAATTTCCGACAAAGGCGACTGGTTCCAACGTTCCCTGAGTCCTGGAACAGTAGATCCAATCTGTTAAATGCAGCGTTTGCCGACCAGGTTTGTTGAATGTCGTGTGCGTGGGACTTGTTTCGGGCGTTGCCTCTGAACCCTGAAGCCTACAGCTGGGCCGGTCCCTAAACAGCTTACAGTGAAGTTCAATTTAAGGACTGATCTTTGTGCATTCCTCCTGGCTGGCCCAGGAGGCACGACCCAAATTGTGGCAGAAGAGTTTAGCTAATCTACCATCGCGCACCCGCAGCAAAATGGAAACTTCACTGCTAAGTTTGCAGCAGCTACATGCGCCCATCGAGGAAATCTCATCATTGGTCCAGGGTGGAAACTTTCCATATCATTGCCTAGAGTCCTAGAGTTTCTGCGACGGCTTTGGCCTTCGCCTTTTTTCACCGGCCTTAGGCTACCCCCAACGCTGGAGGACGCCTTCCGACGACTCGAGGAGCTGCGCGCCGCCGTCCCCAACATCTGCACGCAGATGCTGCTGCGGGGCGCCAACGGAGTCGGCTACAAGTCCTACCCGGAGCCTCGGATTCTGTTAGAGAATGAAGCGCACATGATTGTGCTTAAGGCAAGCAAAATTCTGCATGAAGCCTACAGTACTAAAGAGGAGAAGGAAAGCTGTGACAAGATATGGGGTGCTTCATTAAGACTTAGGACAACGTCGTCGAAGAGTTTGTTCGCCAAGCGGCAACTTCCGGCATGGACGTGTTCCGGATCTTCGATTGCTTTAACGATGTTGAGCAGATGAAGGTCTCCATCAACGCCGTCCGTAAGATGAACAAGGTGGCAGAGATTGCAATGTGTTTCACTGGGGATTTCCTGAGCCCGGACGAGAAGATCTACACCCTGGACTACTACAAGGACCTTTGCCAGAGGTGCGTTGATGCGGGTGCTCACATGATCGCGATCAAGGACATGGCGGGCTTGCTGCGCCCAGCTCACGCAGCCCCAATGATTCAGGTGATTCGGTCAGTGACGGATCTCCCCATCCATTTCCACACCCACAACACATCGTCTGCACAGCTTGCCACCTTGCATGCCATGGCAGATGCCGGCTGCGACATCGTGGACGGCTGCTTCGCAGCCTTCGCAGATGGCACTTCGCAGCCATCCCTGAACGCTTTCCTTGCGACCATGGAGGGAAGGCCACGCGATCCCAAGATCAACTACAGGAAGCTCGAAGGCCTGGATGCCTACTGGTCTTCCGTGCGGGACATGTATAGCCCCTTTGAGAGCGGCATGAAGGCAATGACCGCTCGTGTTTTTCAGCACCAGGCGGCCCATGGGGCATGCGGGATCATGGTTTCAGATCTGAGCTACCCGTCTAGACCCACAGCAGCAGACACACAGTCAAGCAACGGTTCCCCCAAAAACCACCTACAGCCATGTTCAGGTGCCTGGCGGCCAGTATTCGAACATGTATGCTCAGTGCCACGCACTTGGAGGTGATAATTGGGACCATATCCTACAGATGTACGCCGACGTCAACATGTGGTGCGGCGACATCGTGAAGGTCACGCCGTCCTCGAAGGCCGTTGGCGACATCGCCCTCTTCCTGGTGAAGCAGGGCATTACCCCTAACGAGCCTTAGGCTTGTTGCGAACAGATGATTCCTCCCTTCCCTTGTTGGTCCCCTTTATACATTTTCTACTCATCGCCTGCAAGTTCTGATGCCATAGATCAACAGAGACCTTCCAGGGTGCCAAGGGCCAGTAAAAAAAAAGGGTTTTTAAGCCAACTTACATCAGAGGACTAGGGCCAACAAAAATAACAGGGGTGTTTTAATAAGCCAAGCCGTACATCAGAGGACTTTGAGAACATGCCGAAGACCCTAAACCCTAAACCCAGAAGACCCTAAACCCTAAACCATCAGAGGACTTTGACAACATGCCGAAGACCCTAAACCCTAAACC